GGAGGGGGCCGCTAATGCCTGCTGCCCTTCCCCCCTTCTGAGCCTCGGCGAGGCTGATGCGCTGCGGCGGGCCGACGTGCAGCGTCTCGGGCCGTGCTGGCGGCGGCGGGCACGCCGAGGCGCAGCCGCCGACGGCGCTGGGCGCGTGGCCCAGCACGGTGGAGAGCCCGAGCACCTGAGCATCGCGAGGCCGATCCCCAAACGCGCTCGCGCCCTGAACAGAATCAGGGTGTACGGTTTTTTCTTAGTTTTCGGCCTCCTGGGGCCCTCGCCAGGCCCCGAGACCGTCAAACACATGCCCTTGGGATGAAAAGAAATCAAGACGTCGCATGTCTGGGCCCCGATCCCCACTGCCGTGGCCTGAGCCCCACTGGCCCGTAGACCCCCTTCGGGTTCTGAGGGGCAGATCCTCAACTGGGGAGATGGGAGGGTGGGCCTGAGGTGCCATGGCGCGGTGGGGATGGGATGGTGGGGCGCACGGTGGAGGGCCCGAGCGCCTTGGAGCCGGCCGAGGGTCTGAGGTGGCCCAGCTCTGCTTCCGGCGAGCAGGAAGTGGGGGCGAGGTTCGGAGTCATGGGGTCGAGTCTTTGTTGCTGTTGTTGCTGCTGCTGTTGTTGCTGCTGTTGTTGTTGTTGCTGCTGTTGTTGTTGTAGTTGTTGTTCTTATTAGTCTTCTTATTGTTGTTATTATTGTTGTTGTTGTTGTTGATGTTGTTTCGGGGGTCGCTTTCGGGCCCTGGGAGCAGCACGCCCAGACCCCCGACAGCATCCGTTTTGGGGCCCTGGGAGCAACAAACCCAGACCCCCGACGTCATTGTTTTTTCATGACGTCGACCCCAGAAGCCTCGACCCCTTCCACGGGACCGGTTTCTCATCCTGAATCGTTTTTTGACGGTCCCGAGGCCCGGTAAGGACCCCCGGATGCGGAACATATTATGACTCGAGGGTGTCCGGGAGAACGGACCCAGGGTGAAACGCTGCACCGCATGGACCCTGAGAGTGGTCAGGGGGACCGACTCTGGGCGGAGTTGGCCGAGAGAAAAAAAACATAGTCAAAAATATGTTAAACAGAACCAAACCTAGTCCAAACAGCGTCCCCGGACTATTCTTTGACTACGTTTGAATACTCCTCCTGTAGGGGGGGCATGCCCGACTTAACCGCAGGCACCAGCGCCATGGGGCTGAGCTCGCCGAGGGCCTCGACGATCTCGGCGGTGAGTGCGCGCGGCAGGGCGCCCGCCTCTCGTTGCCAGAAGACTGTTGTCCCATAGCCCGCTGCTTCGGAGTGTCGCGCCCCCGGGGTCTCGAGCACAGTGGAGGCCAGTCCACAAGAAACCTTCCACGAGGAACCCACCCCTGAGATCCCAGGATGTCCACTGATTTTTGGTGTGGGAGCGTCTCACGGTGTGCATCGCAAAACCGTCGAAACGATCGAAACCCAGGGCAACCTGGAGGCAAGCAGGGTGCTTCTTGGCTTGGGCCTGGGCCCCCACTGTGGCGGCGGACCCAGGCACCCTCGAGGCATGAACAAATCACGACGTCTGGTTGCTCTCTAGTTCCTGCCTCTGGAGGCCCTCACAGGGCCCCAGGGGCCGTCAGAAAACGACCCAGGGTGAAAAACTGGTCCCAGGGAAAATTGGTCGAGACCTCTGAAGGTCGCGGTTATGAACAGATCGCGACGTCGGGGGCCCTGGGGAGGTGGATCGCTCTGCCCGCCCGCACGGGCACGTGCCCACACATCCGCCGCCCCCTGGGGCCCCCGAGGCACGGACCCGCGGCAGCGGGCATGCGAGGCGCACAGAAAGAGGCGGAGGCACGCTTCCTCGGGGGTCCGCGCCGAGCTCTTGGATCGGCGCTGGGCCCCCGCCTCCCTGGGGCACGGAGCGCGCCAAGGGCGGCGCCGGAGGTGCCGCCAGGGGACCCGAGAGCCGATCCAGGAGGTCTGCGCGGACCTCCGAGCAAAGCGCTTTTTCTCCTCGCGGCGCTCCGAGCAGCCTCTTCATGGCGCGCGTGGGCCACTTGGACGTGGCCGCTCCGGTTCTCCTTGCCATCGTTCGGATCTCCATCCCCTGTGCACTTTTCAGCTTCGTGCGTGCTTGTGTCGCTCGATGCCCTCGCAGAGAAAGGCTGCACACGCCCGAGCGATGCCCAGTCTTCGATGCCTGGCGCTGCTCGCACAGAGGCGCGAGCGTGGAGCACGAGGGCCTGTGGGGCTCCCTCTCCGGGGGCCCAGGCGTGCCCGACGACCAGCGCGCTCCCCCCATAACGTTAGGTCGGGCATGTGTCCACACAGGCGGTTTTGGACGAAGAATCATAAATATTCAAAACAAGTATTCCACAACAAACAAGAATAGTCGAAACATAATCCCCATGTTTTTGACTATTTTCGAATATGTAGTCCTCCTGTAGAGGGACATGCCCGACTTAACCATAACGCCGGCCACGGCATCCCCAATTTGGGATACGTCGACTGAGATTTCGGCTGGCGGACAATGCAATCTTGCCATCGCTCGGACGCCTATGTCCCGTGTATTCTTCGACTTCGTTCGCGTCTTCTGAGAAAATCCAAGTGTGTCACTCACATTCTGGGCCTCAGCTCGGTTTGGTGCTCTCCTCACGTATCCCCTGTGTAGTGCGCACCGGACAGGTGACCCCCAGCGTGTGGGTCATTGCACAGGTGACCTACCAACGAGCGGGTCACCCGACAACGGGTTGAGAAACACATAAAGTGATTCAGCATGCTGCGCCTCGACATGAGTTGGTGCGTTCGTACTCCACGCATTTTCCTGTGCAGCGTGCACCGCACACGTGACCGACCAGCGGGTGAAGCACACGAGCGTGGTTGAGAACAAAATGAATGTGGAACTTGCGTGCTGGGCCTCAACATGATTGTGTGCATTCGTGCTCCGCACGCTTGGTTTGTGTAGCGCGCGCCGGACAGGTGACCCTCCAGCGGGTGGGTCACCCGACATTTGGTTGAGAAAAGCAACGAAAGCGTTTCACTTGCATTCTGGGCCTCGGCATGAATTTGTGCTTTCTTACTCCACACGCATCCCCTGTGCAGTGCGCACCGCATGCGTGACCCACCAGCGGGTGGGTCACCCGAAGCATGGTTCAGAAAAAACTGTTTCACGTGCGTTCTGGGATCCAACATTAGTTGATGCGTTCGTGCTCGACACGCTACCCCTGAGTAGCGCGCACCTCACAGGTGATCCACCAATTCAAAAAAACAATGTGTTAACTTGCGTCCTGGGCCTCAACACGAGTCTGTGCATACGTACCCCAAGCGCTTCTCCCGTGTAACACGCACCGCACAGGTGACTCACCAGCGGGTGGGTCACCCGCGAACTGCTTAAGAAAAACAAGTTGTTTCACTTGCGTCAACATGAGTTGGTGCATTCGTATTCCACGCTTTCCCTGTGTAGCACGCACCGCACAGCTGACCCACCAGCGGGTGACTCACCCGGAAACTTGTGGAGAAAACCCTATTGGTTTCTTGCGTTCTGGGCCTCAACATGAGCTGGTGAAGTCGTACTCCGCACGCCTCCCCGGTGTAGCGCCCACCGCACAGGTGGGCCACCAGCGGGTAGCTCCCCCGAAAACTGGCTGGGATTAAAAATGGTTTCAAGGGCATTCTGGGCCTTAACATAGGTTGGTGCATTCGTGCTTCACACGCTTCCCCTGTGTAGCGCGCGCCGCACGGGTGACCCACAACCTGGTGGATCGCCCGAAAGCACGTCGAGAGAAACCAAATGTTCCATTGGCACACTGGGCCTCAACATGACTTGGCGCATTCCCGTTCCTACTCCATACCTTCCCCAGTGTAGCGCGCGCCGCACAAGTGACCCACTGGCGGGTCAGTCACCCGAAAACTGGTAGAGAAAAACGACACGTTCCGATTGCATTCTGGGCTTCAACATGAGCTGGTGAATTCGTGTTCCACATGCTTCTGTTTGTGTAGCGCGCACCGCACAGGCGACCACCAACGGGTGGGTCATGCGAAACGTGGCTCTGAATGAAAACAATTGTTTCACGTGCGCCCTGGGCCTCAACATGAATTGGTGCATTCGTGCTCCACGCGCTTCCCCTGTGTAGCGTGCGTCGCACAGGTGACCCACCAGCGGGTGGCTCACCCACTGGCTGGGGAAAAAAATATATGTTTCACTGGCGTTCTGGGCGTCAGCATGGGGTGGTGGGTTCGTGCTCCACGCGTTTCCCCTGTGTAGCGCGCGCCGCACGGGTGACCCACCAACGGGTGGGTCACCCGAAACCTGGTTGAGGGAAGCATGCTTTTTCACGCGCATCCTGGGCCTCAACAACATGATCTGGTGCACTCGTATCCCACAAGCTTCCATTGTGTAGCGCGCACCGCACAGCTGACCCACCAGCGGGTGCGTCAACCGAAAACTGGTTGGGACAAAACCAATTGCTTCACTTGCATTCTGGGCCTCAGCATGAGTTGGCGCGGTCGTGTTCCAAACGCTTCCCCCGTGTAGTGCGTACCGCACAGGTGACCCACCAGAAGGTGGCTCACGCGACGCATGGTCGGGAAACGCCAATACTTTCTCTTGCATGCTGGGCCACGTCATGAGTTGGTGCATTCGTACTCCGCACGCTTCCCCTGTGTAGCACGCACCGCACAGGTGACCTACCAGCGGGTGGGTCAACCGAAAACTGTTTGAGAAACGACATGTTTATCTTGCACCCTGGGCCTCTGCATGAGCTGGTGCATTCGTACTCCCCACGCTTCCCCCTGTGTAGCGCGCACCGCACAGGTGACCTACCAGTGGGCGGGTCACCAGAAACCTGGTTCAGAAAAACAAATTGTTTCACTTGCATTTTGGCTGGGCCCGTTGGGCATGGAAATCATAGGCGCGGACGCGGAAGCCAAACGCGTAACGCATGACCCTGCATCGAAAACCGCGCGAGAGCGAGTCGCGCGCGGCGGTGCTGGGCCCATCTGGTACCGGAGACTCCCGAGCGCAAAGACAGGACGCCATCGCGCGCACGCTCGGGCACACGCGCACGCAAATCCAGTGTCCCAGTAAGACGAGCAATCTTTACTCGTCGACCGCAGCCGCCTATGCATCGGGGCACGCGCATAGTTGAGACGCGCATTCCAGCACACGATAGTGCAGATGCAGGTATGTATATATATATACATATATACTCAGACACGCATATACACATGCCTAGAGTGTACGCCTAACACATACTTCCAGGGGGACAATTAGAAATTGTTCTTCGTCGGCGAATATAAAAAATCTCGGGATCCTTGGGGGGTGGGCCTGGGGGCATGATTCTTTAACAGGCTCTGGGCATCATTTTTCGCAAAATGATCCACGATGCTCCTCGATGGCCCTCGCCGAGAAAAAACGCACACGTTCGAACGGTTCCAAATCTTTGAGATATGGACGATGTTCGGCTACACGTAGTTAAGAGCGACCCTGGGCAAGAGTGCCCTTCGCTGCGCGGCTTTCGGGGGCCGCGAAGGGGACCAAATCCAAGCGTGCCGGCCTGTGCTGGGGGGACTTCTGTGAGCCCGCACCGAAGGTCACTCTGGCGAAGGGCCACTCTTTCATGCTGCATCCTCGGGGGACCTTGCTTGTCCCGTCGCGGCCCTATCCGCGTCGACTCCGTGTCCAATCCACGTCGGCCTCGTCGGATCCGTGCCGAATCCGCCTGGGCCGAGTCCGCCTCGAGCTCGCGTCGGGCACGAGAGCAGGCACCCATCTTTTGGGGACCGGCGAGGCCCCCCGAAGATGCCGCGCAACTCTGGCGGCGCACGCCTGGATCAGGCGGCAGGCGAAGTTGAGCGCCGTGTGGGCCAGCCGGGCCCACCGGCCCGGCTGCTCGTCCGCGAGCCGCAGGAGGCTGCGCCCGTGCAGCGGCGGGCCGCCCCCGCGCGCCTCGGGCGCTGCCGAGCGGGGCGGCGATCGAGGGGGAGGGTGAGGAAAGCAGAGTAATGTCGGGCATGTCCTCCTTCCTGCAGGCGGGGTCTGGACGAAGAATAGAAGATACCCCCAAAAATGCGCCCACGTAGCCAAAGATAGTCCAAACATCGTCCCCCGACCATCTTTCAAATTTGAATACTCCTCCTGTAGAGGGATCCGCCCTCATCAGATAGGGGCCTTCTAGATGGGGTCGGAGTAGACGAGGTCGGAGGATCGCGCCGCATCGAGCTGCATCGGCGATGCATCGCCGATGCGGCACGATCCTCCGACCCCATCTACTCGGACTCCATCTAGGAAGCCTAGATCAGAAGCAACCCGACAAGCGAAGCCGTTTAGTAAATGCGCCCAAAGAAGACGGGAGCTTTCTCGCTGCTTTCGGCCTCTGGGGTCCTTACCAGGCCTCGGGACCGTACAAAAAAGATGCAGGATGAGAAACCGACCCCAGGGACTGGGGCGAGATACCTGGGGGTCGACGCAATACAACAAAAGCCATGGCGTCGGGGGTCGGGGCAGGGGTGGGGAAGAAACGTGCACCTATTGTACTCCTTGTGGGCCCCAGGGGGTCACTGGGGCCCGTATGGGCGCACAGTCACAAGAGGTGCACCTCTCTTCATAAGACGAAGCCACGACGAGGATACATTCGGGTGAGGATAGATCGAGAATCTCTGAGATCCAGCGGCTTTGGAGGATGTCTCGGGCGCCGCGCTCTTCTCAGACCTTTCCAGGAGCCTCTGCGAGCGTTCCGGAACGCTCGGGAGTGGATTTCTCTTCGTCTGAGCCCCGCCTCGCATCGTCCCCCCCCCCCCGTTGCGCAACGCCCGCGCGCCGAGCCCAGCAGGAGGCGCCGGGAGGACAGCAGCAGGCGCGTCCGGAACTGCGGTGCCCGCTGCGCGAGCAGAGAGGCCTCCACCGCGTGTCTGCCCGGGACCAGCCTCGGCCGCCTCCTCTCCTGGAAGGGCGATGAGGGGGGGTTGAGGAGGAGAAGAAGGGATACTCAGCATGGGGAGGAGGAGGAGGAGGGGGAGGAGGAGGAGGAAGAGGAGGAGGAGGAGGAGGAGGAGAGGAGGAGGAGGAGGAGGAGGCGGAGGAGGAGGAGGAGGCGGAGAAGAAGGATACTCAGCATGGGGAGGAGGAGGAGGAGGAGGGGGAGGAGGAGGAGGAAGAGGAGGAGGAGGGGAGGAGGAGGCGGAGGAGGAGGAGGAGAAGGAGGAGGAGGAGGAGGGGGGAAGGAGAACGATTGAGGGGTAGGACAAGGAGCACAATGACGAGATGCGTGGGCAGAGGAGCAGGAGGATGAGACGGAGGGAAGAATTACGATGACGATGATGATGATGATGCTGCTGCTGATGATGATGATGATGATGATGATGATGATGATGATGATGCTGATGACGATGCTGACGATGATGACGATGATGACGATGACGATGATGATGATGATGATGATGATGATGATGATGATGATGATGGTGATGATGATGATTACCTTGTACTGGCCTACGGGTCGGGGAGCGGGGCTCGTCCATGCCGCGCAGGTATTGCATGATGATGATCAGGGCGATGATGATGCTGATGATGATGCTGATGATGATAATGATGATGCGGATGATGGTGAGGCTGGTGATGGTGAGGCTGATGCTAATGGTGCTGATGATGATGACGATGATGCTGCTGCTGATGATGACGGTGATGCTGCTGATGATGGTGATGATGGTGATAATGGTGGTGATGATGATGAAAAGGACCAGACAAAAAAAATACTCCGACGGAAGGACCCCACATGATAATCTCTTTAGCTTGCATGGGGGTATCCTCCTGCCCCTTCCCTTCTCCCACCTACTCTTGCCTCCTCGTTCTCCTCCTGTCTGCTCCTCCTCCTGCCTCAACCCCTGCCTCTTCCTCCTCTTCTTGCCTCCTCCACCTCCTCCCCCTCCCCCTCGTTATGCTTCCTCCCCCCCATTCCCCCTGCCCCTCCTGCCTCCTGCCTCCTCCTGCTCTCCCTCTCTCCTCCTCCTCCTCCTCCTCCTCCTCATCCCCTGTCCTCCTCCTCTCCCTCTCCCTCATCCGCTTCCTCCTCCTCCTCCTCCTCCTCCTCGTTTCCATATTCCTCCCCCCTCCTCCCCCCCCTCCTCCTCCTCCTCCTCCTCCTCCTCCTCCTGCCTCCTCCTTAGGCCTCCTGCCCCCTCCTGGGGCCTCCTGGGGCCTCTTGGGGCCTCCTGGAGCCTTCTGGGCCTTCCGGGACCTACTGGGGCCTCCTCGGGCATTCCTCCTCCTCCTTTTCCTCCTCGTCCTTCCTCCCCTCAGCCTCTTCCTCTTCCTGCTTTCCTGTCTCGTCCTGCATCATCCCTCCTCCTTTTCCTGGCAATCCTCCTCCTCCTCGTCCTCGTGCGGAACACGACCCAGAGGAAGCGCACGACGTGCGTCCCAGCCGATACGCGCCGGAGGACGACCCAGAGGAAGCGCGCGCCGGAGGATGACCCGGAGGAACCACGTGAGCTGCGGGACCCATAGGAAGGCTCCCGCCTGACGCGTCCTCACAATTCACTCACAGACGAGGGTCCCGCTTGATACTTCTTCCAAATTCAGACCTGAGGAGCCCAAAAGTGACGACAGTTACAGGAATCCGATGACCCGCTCGGATTAATAACATGATCTGCGGGCCCCATAGGGAGGGGGCTCCCGCCTGAGACTTCCTCGCAATTCACTGACAAACGAGGCTCCCGCCTGATACTTCCTCCAAATTCAGACCTGAGGAGCCCAAAAGTGACGACAGTTACAGGAATCCGATGACCCGCTCGGATTAGTAACATGATCTGCGGGCCCCATAGGGAGGGGGCTCCCGCCTGAGACTTCCTCACAATTCACTCACAGACGAGGCTCCCGCTTGATACTTCCTCCAAATTCAGACCTGAGGAGCCCAAAAATGACGACAGTTACAGGAATCCGATGACCCGCTCGGATTAATAACATGATCTGCGGGCCCCATAGGGAGGGGGCTCCCGCCTGAGACTTCCTCACAATTCACTCACAGACGAGGCTCCCGCTGATACTTCCTCCAAATTCAGACCTGAGGAGCCCAAAAGTGACGACAGTTACACTCCGATGACGGAGACGAAAAAACATGATCTGCGGGCCCCATAGGGAGGGGGCTCCCGCCTGAGACTTCCTCACAATTCACTCACAGACGAGGCTCCCGCTTGATACTTCCTCCAAATTCAGACCTGAGGAGCCCAAACGTGACGACAGTTACTGGAATCCGAAAACCCGCTCGGATTAGTAATATGATCTGCGGGCCCCATAGGGAGGGGGCTCCCGCCTGACGCGTCCTCACAATTCACTCACAGACGAGGCTCCCGCCTGATACTTCCTCCAAATTCAGACCTGAGGAGCCCAAAAGTGACGACAGTTACAAGAATCCGATGACCCGCTCGGATTAATAACATGATCTGCGGGCCCCATAAGGAGGGGGCTCCCGCTTGAGACTTGATCGCAATTCACTAACAAACGAGGCTCCCGCCTGATACTTCCTCCAAATTCAAACCTGAGGAGCCCAAAAGCGACGACAATTACAGGAATCCGATGACCCGCTCGGATTAGTAACATGATCTGCGGGTCCCATAAGGAGGGGGCTCCCGCCTGAGACTGGCTCGCAATTCACTCACAGACGAGGCTCCCGCTTGATACTTCCTCCAAATTCAGACCTGAGGAGCCCAAAAGTGACGACAGTTACAAGAATCCGATGACCCGCTCGGATTAGTAACATGATCTGCGGGCCCCATAGGGAGGGGGCTCCCGCCTGAGACTTCCTCACAATTCACTCACTGACGAGGCTCCCTCTTGGTGGATGATGGTGATGGGATGATGACGACGGTGGTGATTTGATGATGATGATATGATGATGATGATGATGATGATGATGATGATGATGATGATGATGATGATGATGATGATGATGATGATGATGGTGGTGGTGGTGATGATGACGACGTGATGATGATGGTGGTGATGATGAGTGCTGATGGTGAGTGATCGTGCGATTATGATGGTAAATGGTGGTGATGATGATGGGGACGAAGTGGTGAGTCAGCGAGTAGTGATGATGATGACGATGATGATGATGATGATGATGATGATGATGATGATCGTTCGATGCCGATGATGGTGAGTGATCGTGCGATGGTGATGGTGATGCTGATGGTGATGATGATGATGATGATGATGATGATGATGATGATGAGTGGGGAGTGATGGTGATGGTGATGATGATGCGGAGGAGGAAGCAAAGAGGAGCAGAGGAGAGGGAGGAGGACGAGAGATCCTGCGCGGAGGGTGTGCAGAGAAAACAAGAACCCCACTTAGGATGTGGGGAACAATATGCCTCAACGATGTTGCAAAGTGTCCTCCCGTCCCAGGACCCCTCCCCCCACTCCCCACAAGTCGGGAGCGGCCAAGAGGGGGGTGTCCAAGAGGGGGGGTGCAAATCATGACCGGCGGCATGTGCGCGGCCCAGCGGGGGGCCAGGGACGTAATGAAACAAGAAGAGGCGCCATGAAATCTGGGGAAATATCATGGCCCACGCCATGATATCCACCCCCCCCAAGTCATCACCCCCCTCTTTTCCGCCCCGAACAAGTATTCCGCGTCACAGCAGGAAGCGCCCCCCCTGGGAAGACGAGCGCGCGGAGGGGCCCGCCCTTCGGGCGAGGGCCCCGTCTTGAGAAAAGGAGCTCCCCGACATACACATCGAGCGGATGCTACGGAGCGCGAAGGGGCAGGGCCATAGAGCTCATCGAGGTGTCCAGCGAGAGCCCCGTTCGAGGAACGCGCCGCCCCCCCCCCCCCCCCTCCTCCTCCTCCTCCTCCTCCTCCTCTTCTTCTTCTTCTTCTTCCTCCTCCTCCTCCTCCTCCTCCTCCTCCTCCTCCTCCTCCTCCTCCTCCTCCTCCTCCTCCTCCTCCCCGTGCAACCGGTGCGCACCAGATCTCGCGTCTGGTCGTCCAAGGGGGGGGGGAGGTCCGAAGCGACAGCCCCGCTCAGAGCAAGACACGAGCCGCCCTCCAGCCGTGCAGCTGCCACATCTGCTCAAGCACCGAGTTGCCGAGTCGTCGAGCGCGGGGAGTCCTCCAGCGACAACCACACCTTGAACATGAGCCGTCCTAGATCCTCGTCCCGGGTGCTGCTGTGCCTAGATCAAATGTGTGCGGCGCCAGGGCGAGAGCCCCATATTGAAAAGCAGCTGCTCTTCATCCCAGCAACTGCTGCAAACTTTCAGCACGAATGTGCGCGGCGCGAAAGCAAACACCCAAGTGTGAAATGAACCCGCTCTGCATTCCTGTACCAGCTGCAAGCTTTTGAAGCGAATGTGCGCGGCGCGAAGGCGAACACCGTAGTTTGAAAACCATCCGCCCTCCAATCTTGAATCTCTTGCAGACTTGTAAAGCGAATGTGCGCGGCGCTCAGACGAGAGCTGAAATCCCACCAGCCCTTTGGGCGTAGGTGGCTCTCACGAACTGTGTCCTCTCTCTGCCAAGATCCCCCCTCCCTGCTCGGGAGAAAGGTTTATCACTATTCCCTGTGAATATACACCCCCTCCCCCAGGCGAGGGGCAACCAACCCAAAACAATGGGGACCCCATGAGGACCCCCCAGCCACCCTTACCAACAAACAATACGAACACACACTCTGCCTCTAAATCCGGAGCATGCGCAACCAACCCGATGCGGACCCCCCCACCCCACCATGCCCGCCCCCCGCAAAAGCTACAAAGTACACTTTGAGCCAGAGTCTGGAGTCATGTTCGTGAGGCCCGCGAACACTTTGTATTGTTTTCTGACAGCGGCGGCGGGGGTGTCAGCAAATTGCCTGCTGCGCGCAGGACGACCATCCCTTCCCAAAAAAATACAACATGCACCTCGCGGCTAAATCTGGATCATGCGCCGCCGCCCCGCGATCACCGTCAAGTGGTTTTTGACAGGTACGGCGGGGGTGGTGGCGTATGGCCTGCTGTGCGCAGGCCCACCAGGGACAATGATGGGCAGTGGTTTTCGACAAGGATGGCGGAGGCAGACATGTTTCCCGATGTGTGCTGTCGCGTGCGCAGGCGCACCTGACACAGTCTGCACGTGCCCCGAACGTGGCGCACCTGGCGCGGCTGGAGTATGCGGCACACCTGGCGCACGCGGAGGCACGTGGCGCATCTGGCGCACCAGGCGTGCCTGCCACGGTCGGGCCCCAGGGGTGCCTGGCGCGCGTGGCGCGCCTGACACGCGTGGCGCACCTCGCCCCAGCGTCGCGCACATGAGGTCGGCTTTGGTTCCCAGTAACTGCCCATCCAAAGACGACCGCTGAACCTGCTGAGGCTCGGGTGCTGCTTTTGTGTTGGGAGGGCGGGTGGGAGTGAGCTGGACGGCTTGCTGGCGGGTGGGTACCTGGACCCGTCCCCCTATACCCTCTCCCCTGGGCCTGGAAGGGGGTGGGGCGCGGGGTGTCAGAGCGCCCGTTTTGGTCCAAGCTGGCTCAAAGCGGGCCTCTGGGAGCGCAAGATGGCCCAAGAAGCCGCAAGACGGCCCCGAGACGGCTTGAAGTGCCCGCCGAGCCCTCCGAGGACCACCCAATAGGCAAACATAACTCCAACACCTAAGGAACATCAATGGTGTTTGCCGTCTCGCTTTTTCGCTTCCGACTGGCTTTTGAGGCCCCAAGATGGCACAACGACGGCCCAAGAGAGCCCCGAGAGGAACCCTAGAGGGCTTCGAGACAGCCCCAAGAGCACTCAAGAGCGCTCGAAGAGCGGCCCAAGAGGGCCCCTACGACGGCATGTTTTAGCGTCCGAGGAGGGGGGGGGCGGCTGAATTTAGGACCCCGCTCTTTTGAAGCCATGGGGGGCAATACGGCCTCAAGAGCCCCCCCAGACGACCCCCCGAAAGAGCCTCAAGAGGGCTCAGGGATCCCCCGAAAGAACTCCATCATTGCCCCAAGACCCCCCAGACCAGCAGCAGCACCAGCAGCAGCACCAGCAGCGCCAGCATCATCACCAGCAGCAGCACCAGCAGCAGAACAACTAGCAGCTACAGCATCAACAGCACAACAACACATAGAGAAGAGAAGACGAGGATGATTATACGAATACGGATAATCATACTAACACTAAAAAAGAATACGCATTACAATCCGAAGAAGAAGAAACCATATTCACACGACGAAAACGGCTAATAATAAGCATCACAGTAAAGCGAACACCAAACATACTAAGAAACAAGCAGCGCCATCACCCTCACAGCGGCCCTAGCAGCAGCAGCACTAGCAACAGCAGAAACACCCGCAGAAACACAAACATGGGTGTCGTTTCTGGATGGGATGGCGGGGATAGGCGACGCGTCAAGAATTTGAAGCCGATCTGGACTTCATATCCATGAATCTATCGCAAACTTGTAAAACGAATATGCGTGGCGCTGAGGCGTCCGCAACCTTAGGAGCTGCTTAACGGCGGCGAGTGAGGGGGGAAGTGAGAAAGATAATGCCTTCTCAGAAGGCGGCGGGACTTCTCAGAAGCCTTCGCGTCTTCTGAACATTGTTCCCATCTTCGAGGGAGGCTGAAACAGTTCTCAGAAGGCTAGGGAACTTCTGAGCCTTTTGAGAGCCCTTCTCACGTCCCCCCCCGCCCGCCACTGAGTTTAGCTTCGTCATGAGTTCTCAATCGAAGCGCCTGGCCAAGCCAACGGACACGTCTGGTGGTGTGACAAGGGGGGTTGTTCATAAGGAAGACGGGTTGAGACGCGTGAGGCAGGAGGGGGAGAAGGGAGGGGGAGGAGGAGGAGGGAGGGGGAGGAGGCAGAGACGGAGGAGGAGGAGGGTAACGAGGGTAATGACTATGCGGGCACAGCAAGGTGCCCCAAGGAGGAGGAAGAGGAGGACGAGGACGAGGACGAGGACGAGGATGAGGATGAGGATGAGGAGGATGAGGAGGAGGGCGGAGTTCCATCGAGTTCGTCTGCCCTTTTTTATTGTTTTGTGTTGTTTGGGGTGTAAGACCGTGCTTCGCATCGACATCTTGTCTAATCTACACACCTACCAGGAGGAGGAGGAGGAGGAGGAGGAGAAGGAGGAGGAGGAGGAGGATCATGACAAGGAAGACGACGACGAATTGCTCCTCCTCCTCCTCCTCCTCCTCCTCCAACTTCTCCTCCAAGTTTCTCTCCGTTCTGGTCCCTGGACCCTTCTGGGGGGTCCACCCTGACAAGTTTTCCAAGCCAAGTCCAGCCATGGCGACGAGAACCTCCAGAAACGCCCAAAAACCTCCCAAACGATGGCGTCACCTTCGATGTCTTCGCCGTCGACGTCGATGTCAAGGAGGGGTGGGAGGGCGTGGTCGCGGACGCTTCCTTGGGCACGATGGCCACGCCAGCTATTTGGTCGCCCAGGAAGCGGTCAGCGAGCGCATCCAGCTGGGCGTCGTCGAGCCTGGGCGAGGAGGAGGTAGGGGAATGGGGGAGGAGAAGAAGGAGAAGACGGAGGGGGAGGCGGTGGAGGAGAGTGGAGGAGGGAAGGGAGGCAGAGGGAGGATGAAGAGGAGGGGGATGAGGCGGATGAGGAAATGTAAAGAGTAGGATTCGGAGTAGAAGCGAGGATGGGGAAGAAGTGGAAGGGGAAGAAAGGGGAACGGCGAGGAGGGGGAACTAAGATGGGAGGACGAGGAGGCCACTTTCACACAGCACTCGACGCCAAACACACGGCCGTCCGAATGTCGAAATGTCATCCCTCGGCCCACCTCGAAGCCCCCTCCACCACCCACACTTTCCGCTGGTTCCTGGTCGGCTGGAGTGGAGGGAGGGGGGATGTTTGTGGGCGCCTTTGTTGTTCTCGTGTGTCTGTGTGTGTGTGTGTGTGTTTTTGGTCTCTCCTGCACGCTGGCCAATTCGCTTCTCGGCGCCCCCCGTTTAGCTCTATCGTTGGTGCAGTCGTTCTGCCTCACCGCCGACGTAAAAATGTGTGTGTGTGTGTTTTTGGTGGCGGGCGCGGGCGAGGGAACCACCACTGCACGCAAACGCCTTGCAACTCCGCCTGCCGCCCAGAGCCGGAGCCCACCAGGACGCCCCCAACGACCTCAGCCCAGCCCAGCACCGCCGAGCACTGGAACCCTCCCAAATGGGGTAGGAGGATCGCGCCGCATCGCCGATACATCGGGGGTAGAACGCAACTCACGGAAGCTTTTGGTCGTCCCCATGGCGCCTAATAGCGCACCCAATCGCGCTCAAAGCTTTGTAAGCGCTATTCGGAACTGCTTGGCGCTATTGGGCGTTATTGAGCGCTGTAGGGCGTGATTCGCCGATATACAGCCAATGTAAGACGAGCGGAATCTTCAGTGATTTACTATCTACATCGGCGGCACCGGCGACATCAGCGCGGAGAACATGTGGCTCCACATCGAACCGCATCGCCGATGCACTGGCGATGTGGCGCGATCCTCCGACACCATCCACTCCCGGCCCCAGTCGGGAGGCCTGGACGATCGTGGTCGACGACGACAAGAACTGCATCGCTCGGCGGCGCTCCAAAGGAGTTTGGCGTGAGAGGGCTGGGCTTCCAATAAGGCGGCGAGGCTTCTATAGAGGATTTTTACCCATAATAACCACCCCGACAAGCGAAGCCGTTTAGTAAACGTACCCAAACAAGGAATCGAACAGGGTAGGGCTGTTTAGTAAACGCCCAGGGCCATTTAGCAAACGCCAATTATCGAGTCCGGGTGGCTTTTTCTTCCCTTGAGTCTAAGAGTGGAAGGGGGTTTTCTTAGAAGCACACCCAGATCCTGAGAGGCCTTACATGATGCCTCCATGGCTTCTCAGAAGGCCCCGTGCCTTCTAAGAAACCGCTCCACCTTGTCAGAAAGACGCCCCCCCTTGTGCCAGCCTTAGGTCGGGCATGTCCTCCAACAGGCGTTTTTTGAGGAAAAATGAAAAATAGTCAAAAAAGATGAAAAATAGTTGTCTTTGACTATCTTTTAATCTTCCTCCTGTAGAGGGACATGCCCGAGTTAATATCAGGCCCTCCACAGACGTGCGATGCCCTGATCGTTTCCCGACCCTTTCCTCTGGACCGGTTTTTCACCCTGAGGCGCGGCGAGGGCTCCTGGAGGCTCCAAGACGGCCAAAAACCTCCCGTCGTGATCTTTTCTCAAGGTGCGAGCGCGGGCGCCGCCAAATCGCTCTTGCAGCTGGTGGCCCAGCTTCCTCTTGAGCAGGGACCGACCGTCCCGGCATTCCTATAGGCCTACCACGAAATTTTCTTGGAACCCAAAAGTGTTCAAATGACAAAAACAATGTTCTTAGAACTTAAACCCAATGTGCTAAAACAAGACGGTCTCAGCCAGAAATGTTCTAAGAACATTCCGTGCAGACCACGAAAGGTTATTAGAACATTCTTTGGTGGGCCTATAGGCGAGCCAGGACGCTTCGCCACTGCTTGATCTTCGCCTGCGAGCGCCTGGCCAGGCCCCGCACCTGGCACCTCGACGACCAGGCGGCCGCTGGGCGACCTCTGAACTATCCGACGTTACGAAGAAATCACAACACCGCGGAAAATCACGACCAGAGCCCTACAGACACCATCCTTCTGGAGGCTGTTTTTCTGTAGATTCTGGCGGGTTTACTTGCATTCAGAGGGAGGGGGTCGCGGCGAGGCCCGGAAGGAAATCTGGACTTCACGCAAGTCGGGACTCACTTTCACGCCGTGTATGCCCGGCGTTGTTGGAAAAGGCGGCGTGGGGGAACGGCGTGCAAGCAAACTTGCCTGAGCGTAAGGAACACCACCTCCCGCGCACTTCTCGAGCCCGATCGATCTGTGGTGATCCCGGCCCGGGGCCCGACATCGGGCCGAAAGCGCCTGATCCGAAAAGATGGCAGCGCCCGGGTCTCGGGCTTACACGCCCAAGCGTGTACAGGAAAAGTGGATGCGGTGCCCAATAACAGATGCTGTCCAACACTCACAGCGGCTGCTGTTGGCGGCCTTCCGCCTCACATGAACAGCGTCCGCGGAGACGCTGACAGCCAGCCCTGTTCAAGATGGACAAGACATGCTGTCAACCTTCGTGCCCATTCTTTCCGTACATTGGAGGCCCGTCCACAAGAAACCCAACCCTGAGACCACAGGACGTCCATGGATTTTCGGCGTGGGAACGCCGCGCTTTCCGTAGCAATACCATCGAAACCAAAGAAACCAAGGGCACCCTGGAGGCAAGCAGGATGTTTCTCACTGATCGCAGGAGGGGGCGACAAGCAGAGGCGGCGGCCGACGGCACCGCGCGGCCAGCGCCCCGACGCCCCCAGGCGGCCGCCAGCGACGACTGCGCGGACGACGGCACGACGGCGATACCAGGCATACCAGGCTCTTGGAGCTGGCTGGGGGCCTGAGGCGGCCAAGCACTGGTTCCAGGGGGGAGGAGGAGGAGGAGGAGGAGGAGGAGGAGGAGGAGGAGGAGGAGGAGGAGGAGGAGGAGGAGGAGGAGGAGGAGGAGGAGGAGGAGGAGGAGGAGGAGGAGGAGGAGGCGCGAGGTCAGGAGCTCGGGAGGACTTTTTGCCTTTCGGTCTTCTGGGGGCAGTCTTCGGGTCCCGGGGCCGTCGAGTCGAAAACGGATCTGTGGAAAACAACTGCACGAGACTACCCCGGGGAGGGGTCCAGGGACCGATTCTGAGCGGATCTACTCTTATATCCCCCATTCCTGGCTAATGGTCTCGGAACCCATCCAGTTCAGACCTCCAACCCGAGGCCCCCAGCGTCATGATTTCTCTACAGCGTCGGCCCCCAGAGGTCGTGACCCAGTCCATGGGGCTGGTCTTTCGTTCCGAAAGCTTTTTCGAAAGTCTCGGGGCCCGGCGAAGGCCTCCAAAGACCGAAAGCAGGAACCACCTGTCCGCCGCGTGCTTTCTAGGACGCAAGCACGTCTGGAAGGGGCGGGCACGGACCGACCGACCGACCGACCGACGACGTCGACGTCGACGACGACATACGACGACGACGACGACGACGACGACGACGACGACGACGACGACGACAACGACGACGACGACGACATCGCATTGACGATTCCGCCGCCGCCGCCGACGACGACGACGACACGACGAAGACGACGACAAGCGCGGGCGGCGCGCAAGCCGCTCGGCCCGGCGGGAGGCTTTCCGCCCTGGCTCGGGGGCGGCCAAGAGGGGGGCGTCCAAGAGGGGGGGGCGCAAATCATGGCCAGCGGCATGTTTGGGGATCCCAAAACCGTGTGGTGACAGACCGCGCGGTGACTACGGGAACCCAAGAGACCTCACCGCATGGTCCGTCACCGCACGGGCATGGGACCCTGGAGGCCCCTCTCGCCCGAGACATCCTCGGAGAGGGATTCAAGTCCCAGAACCGTTCGGTGACCCCAAATCCCCAACGACTCAGGCCCCCAGACGTGTGCGCGGTCCAGGGGACGTATTGACATAAGAGGAGGGGCCATGAAATCTGGGGAGATATCATGGCCAACGCCATGATACCCCCCCAGTCTTAGGTCGGGCATGTCCCTCTACAGGCGGATTTTGGACGACAAGTGAAAACCGTAGCCGAAGAATACTCGACACAAGATCAAACATGCTCAAAAAAGTCACCAGGTCATTTCTTGACCACTTTTGAATCTTCCTCCTGTAGAGGGACACGCCCGACTTAGCCCTGGTCCTCGCCCCCCTCTCTTTGCCGCCCCCGACTGGCGGGGCCCGGCCGCGAGAGGCCCGGGCGCCGCGCCTCGACGCCTCCTCCGCCAGCGAGCTGGGGTCCTGGCGCGCCGGCGCGTCGTTGTCGTCGTCGTCGTCGTCGTCGTCGTCGCAGTGGTCCTCGTCGTCGTCGTCGTCGTCGTCGTCGTCGCCGTCGTCGTCGTCGTCGTCGTCGTCGTCGTCGTCGTCGTCGTCGTCGTCGTCGTCGTCGTCCTCGTCGTCGTCGTCGTCGCCGTCGTCGACGTCGTCGCCGTCGGTGTCGTCGTCGTCGTCCTCGTCGTAGTCGTCGTCGTCGACGTCGTCGTCGTCGTCGTTGCCGCCTCCGAAAAGAGGACACATCCTCCGGGAGGACACGTCCTACCAGTAGGTCCTTCTGCGTCCCATAAGACGCCGGCCCTTTCCCCGCCCATGCCGGGATGGTCGCCCCGTTGGCCCCGCGGCGTCGTCGTCGTCGTCGTCGTCGTCGTCGTCGTCGTCGTCGTCGGTGTCGTCGTCGTCGTCGTCGCCGTCGCCGTCGTTGTCGTCGTCGTCGTCGTCGTCGTCGTCGTCGTCGTCGTCGTCGTCGTCGTCGTCGTCGTCGTCGCCTTTCGACCACAGTCGGCCTCGGGGGCCCCCCGCCAGATGAGGATAACACAACCCACCCCCACTCCAGGCAAGGACCCCCGCTCCTGACCCGAGGCCGTCGACAGAACGGCTCGGGATGGAGAACCTGCAAGAGTTGGGGCTTTCGGTGGCTTAGTATTGAAAAGAACGCATGCCTGGGCCGAGATCGGGACATTGCCATTTCTTCACACCGTGCGATTCCGCCCACTTTCGGTCCCCTGGGTCATCACACATCGATTCGGCCAGAAAAAACGTAGCGGAAAGATTGGGCTCGGGGCTCCAGGCGTGATTTTCCACAGTGCCGCCTCTTTTCCGTGACGTCGGATCTTAGGGGAGGGGGGAGGGGGAGGGAGGGGGGAACAGGACCCAGGCGTGCTCGCGTCGTGAGAGATCACGACTGTTTTGTATTATAACATTTTTCAAACACAAAGCGGAGTTTCTGTTTCTGGGGCCTGGGACCTGGTACCGTCAGAAAACGTCTCGGGATGGAAGCAGGCCGCGGGGAAAAGGTCGGGACTTCTGGGGGCCCCGCGTCGCACACATCAAGAAACTGCATGCCTGTGGAGTCTCGGGGGGGACGAAAGGGGGGGATAGCAAAAGGTAGGGTAGAGAATCAGCTCACGTAGCTGAGATCCGAGAGATTTCACGTTACGGAAACAGGCTGCGCCACGCTGGTCCTGGGCAGGCTGTGCTGCCCGGCGGAAAGGGGCGAGGATGGAAGAAGCAGGCAGACGACGACGGACGCCCAGGCGGGAGGCCAGGGACGGCGGGGCGGGCGGGCAGGCAGAAGAGGGGCCAAGCGGGGACAGGAGGCAAGGAGCAGGAGGAACGGAAAGGGAGGGAAGCAGCGAGCAGAGGAGGAGGAGGAGGAGGAGGAGGAGGAGGAGGAGGAGGAGGAGGAGGAGGAGGAGGAGGAGGAGGAGGAGGAGGAGGAGGAAAAGGAGGACAAGGAGGAGGGAAAACGGCGACCGCAAGCAGACAGGCCGGGCCAGGGGCCAGGGGAAATGAGCCACCCGCGACGAGGCTACGGACCCTACGGCGGCGACCTGATCGGGGTGGCCGCCAGAGCCAGCACGATGCGGCTTGGTGGGGGTTGCCCTTTGCGGGGTCCATCCGCCGCCCCGCCGAGGAAGGGCCGGGCGGCGCGTGGGAGGGTCGCCGGCGCGACGTTGGCGAAAGGGTACGGGGGGCGCCTGTGCAAGGGCGGGGGGGGGTGGGCGGGGGGCGCTAAACAGCGTCGGGGGCACCTCACACGGCGTCTGCTGTGGAAACCGCCGCGGCCGCGGCCAAGCGGGCTGCTGCCACCCGCGCCCCTCCAAACTGGGTCTGGACACGCCGCAACACCGCCCGCGCGTTCTCCCTGTGCGGGGAGACGGAAAGTCGCTGGGCGTGTTGGTCCGCAACCAGTGCGGCGTCTTCCCCGGTGGCGTCAGCCACCCGCTTGGCCAGGACCCCGAAGGCCCTGCGTGCCTCGCGGCCCCATCCGCCGCCGTGGGCTTCCACCACCATGGGGAGGAAGGTGAAGCCCTGTGCCGCGCAGGGCCGCGCGGCGTCCTGGTGTTGCCTTTTGAACTCCTCGTACCGCTCCGTCGCTGCGCTTGACAAAGCGGCCGACGCGGCGAGGAGATCGGCGCGCAACCCTGACGTGGCGGCGAGGTCCCAGCCGGCCGCCGTGCCGTTGCGCCACCGCGGCAAGTGGACGTCGGCAAGGCGGCGTTACCCCGCGCCGGGAGGCGCCCATGTATCGAAGACTGGTTCCCGTCGGCGGAAACGTGTAAGCGGTGTGCCAAGAAGGGTGCGGTGACGCCATGCGAACCCTGCCACTGGGGCTTTCGGAGTGAAGCTGCCTGTTGGGCCACGAAGCGTTTGAGGGGTGTGCCAACATAAGTGCGGTGGCGCCATGCGAACCCTGCCAGTGGGGTCTTCGGTGGGATTCCCTGCGGGGCCACGAAGGTTTAGAGACATGCGGAGGGCATGGGCGAAGGATGGGAAGAGGGAGCAGGGGGCGGAACGCGGGAGGCGAGGTGAGGAACGCGGGGCGCTGTCTCTTCAAAACGAAGACCCAACACCACAGGATGGTTGGGACAAACTGTTGCTCGATCTGATCATGAATGCGGCCGCCAGCCACGTATCGTTTCTCGTGGCTGAGAAAGGCTCGTTGCCTCTGGACACAAGGAGGCGCGGATACTGCATCGCACGCCTGGCCATGTACCTTTGGGACTAGCCACAACGCACGGTGTGTACAAGTTTCCCGAAGTTGCTCATGACTTCTTTTCGCATGCATGGCCTGGTTGGTTGAGACCTTCAAACAGAGCGCAAGCGGAAACATGAAGCATGCTAGGCCTGGCGCGTTCAATCCCTGATGCAAGTGGAGGTGGGGGGGGGGAGAAAGAGAGGGGGAGGGATGGGGGAGGAGGAAAAGGGGCATGAGGGCGAGAGCGCTATGCGGCGATTTCCACACGGCCCCACATGGCCACTGACGGAAGAAGTTGGGTTCGTTGCGAAGGTATGGGGATAAGTTGGGAGTGTCTGCCACGAAACTGGGGCGCTGCCACTCCTTCTCCTCCTCCTCCGCCTCTTCCTCCTCCTCCTCCTCCTCTTCCTCTTCCTCTTTCTCCTCCTTGTCGTCGTCAACTTTACCGTCCTCCCACGCTCTCCCGCCCCCTTCCTTCAACTCCTCCTGTCCTGGAAAGGACTGAAGTGCGCGCCAACCGAGCTTCCCTCCTCCTCCTCATCCTCCTCCTTCTCCTCCTCCTCCTCCCCTTTGCCGTCAGGCCGACGCAATTTTCCCATGCCTCGCCCCAGCGGGTAAACGGTGCACCGCCTGGCTGCGGAGCGGGTCCGATGACGTCAGGCTCCTCGTTCCGCCCGCTAGCGGGTACTATAAGGAACCTGGCGGAGGGCAGCGCCTCCCTTGGGAGGCTCGTGGTCGTTCGTTGTCGTCCTCAGTGTCTCGCTTCGTTGTCGTGCCCGTTGCCTCCATCCCTCTGAAGCGGTTGCGGCACGGCCCTGGAGGAAGTTCCGGGGCGGACGTGGTTTGCGTTTCTGGGCCGGGGAGTGGCCCTCTCGCCCCATCCCCTGCCCCCTGCTGCTGCCAATGTCGCCGTTTCAGCTGTCAGGCCACGGACTTCAGTGCCCTGCCACCTGGGCCAAGAGGTGCGGCCTGGGCGCGGGGAGAACCCAATGGCACCTCCTGGTCTGAGGTGGCACCCGCCGCCGTGGGCTTCCACCACCATGGGGAGGAAGGTGAAGCCCTGTGCCGCGCAGAGCCGCGCGGTGTCCTGGTGCTGCGTTTTCAACTCCTCGTACCGCTCCGTCGACGCGCTTGGCGAAGCGGCCGACGCGGCGAGGAGATCGGCGCGCAACCCTGACGTGGCGGCAAAGTCCCAGCCGGCCGCCGTGCCGTTGCGCCTCCGCGGCAGGTAGACGTCGGCAGGGCGGCGCTTCCCAGCGCCGGGAGGCGCCCATGAATCGAGGAATGGGCCTGGCGGCGCAAACGTGTGAGCGGTGTGCCAACGAGGGTGCGGTGGCGCCATGCGAACCCTGCCACTGGGGCTTTCGGTGTGAAGCTGCCTGTTGGGCCACGACGCGTTTGAGGGGTGTGCCAACATCAGCGCGGTGGCGCCATGCGAACCCTGCCAGTGGGGTCTTCGGTGGGGCTGCATATGGGGCCACGAAGGTTTAGAGACATGCGGAGGGCATGGGCAAGGGATGGGAAGAGGGAGAAGGGGGAGGAGCGCGGGAGATGAGGTTATGAACGCGGGGCGCCGTCTCTTCAAAACGAAGACCCAACACTACAGGATGGTTGGGACAAACTGTTGCTCGATCTGATCATGAATGCGGCCGCTGGGGATCCAGCCACGTATCGTTTCTCGTGGCTGAGAAGGGCTCCATGCCTCTGGGCACAAGGAGGCGCGGATACTGCATCGCACGCCTGGCCATGTACCTTTGGGACTAGCCAAAACACACGGTGTGTACAAGTTTCCCGAAGTTGCTCATGACTTCTTTTCGCATGCATGGCCTGGTTGGTTGAGACCTTCACACAGAGCGCAAGCGGAAAAATGAAGCATGCTAGGCCTGGGCGTTCAATCACTGATTCAAGTGGAGGTTGAGGGGGAGAAAGAGAGGGGGAGGGATGGGGGAGGAGGAAAAGGGGCATGAGGGCGAGAGCGCTATGCGGCGATTTCCATACGGCCCCAAATGGCCACTGACGGAAGAAGTTGGGTTCGTTGCGAAGGTATAAGGATAAGTTGGGAGTGTCTGCCACGAAACTGGGGCGCTGCCACTCCTCCTCCTCCTCCTCTCCCTCCTCCTCCTCCTCTTCCTCTTCCTTTCTCCTCCTTTTCGTCGTCAACGTTACCGTCCTCCCACGCTCTCCCGCCCCCTTCCTTGAACTCCTCCTGTCCTGGAAAGGACTGAAGTGCGCGCCAACCGAGCTTCCCTCCTCCTCCTCCTCCTCCTCCTCCTCCTTCTCCTTCTCGTCCTCCTCCTCCTCCTCCTCCTCCTCCTCCTCCTCCTCCTCCCCTTTGCCGTCAGGCCGAGGCAATTTTCAAATGCCTCGTCCCAGCGGGTAAGCGGTGCAGCCTGAGCTCCGTGTGGCACCGCCTGGCTGCGGAGCGGGTCCGATGACGTCAGGCTCCTCGTTCCGCCCGCTAGCGGGTGCTTTCAGGAACCTGGCGGAGGGCAGCGCCTCCCTTGGGAGGCTCGTGGTCGTTCGTTGTCGTCCTCAGTGTCTCGCTTCGTCGTCGTGTCCGTTGCCTCCATCCCTCTGAGGCGGTTGCGGCACGGCCCTGGAGGAAGTTCCGGGGTGGACGTGGTTTGCGCTCCTGGGCCGGGGAGTGGCCCTCCCCCCCTCCCCCTGCCCCCTGCTGCTGCCATTGTCGCCTTTTCAGCTGTCAGGCCACGGACTTTAGTGCCCTGCCACCTGGGCCAAAAGGTGCGGCCTGGGCGCGGGGAGAACCCAATGGCACCTCCTGGTCTGAGGTGGACCGGCTTTGACGTTCACGGAGGCGGGGCCCGCGGCTTCCCGCCTGTAACCTCTTGGTTGCAGTGTTCTTTGCCGCGGGCATAGTGCTGCAGTGCTAGTGGGGGTGCGGGTGCTGGGCAGCGCTCTGTGTTTTGTCCCTTGGGTGCCCATCCCGAACGCCATGCGAATATTTGGCGCGGCTTGTAGGGCGGTCCTTGGTTTGCCTTCATTTTATTGGCTTCCCGCCTAAGGCACAGCGTTGCTGGCGCTGGTTGGATGTAGTCAGTTGAAAAAAAACTCAGATGAGGTCCACGCTTATGCCCGTCAACCCCTTCTGCACGAATGCCCTTGGTGTTGGCCGTTGGCTACGTTGGCCGTTGGCCAGGGTACGTTTGGACCGCGCTCGTTGAACGCCGCGGTTTTGTTCTGCCTTTTGGGCCGTACAACAAGTCCTCCTTCCCTTCCACCTAGCTCATGTTTATCCTGCTGCTCCTCCTTCTCTGCCTCCTCCTCCTGCCCCTCTCACGCACCTTCCGATCCTCCTCCTCCTCCTCCTCCTCCTCCTCCTCCTGCTCCTAGTATGGTCCCGACGAGACTAAGGTTACCCTTCTCCTGCATTCACTCTCTTCCCCCTCCGGTTTCTCCTCGTTCACTTCGTCCACCTCCTCCCCCTCCGCCTCGGGTCCAGGAAGAGGCTGAAGTGCGCGGCCACCGAGTAGGGGATTGGAGCGCCCATGTTCGCGCCCTGAGAGCGGTCTCCTCTTCCTCCTTCTCCTCCTTCTCTGGTAGATCCTCTTCCTTGACTGGGTCGGTCTTGGGCGAGATCTACTGGCACTGATCGACAGGCTGTCAACTATTCCCCCCCCCCCCCCCTCCCCGACCTGCGAGCCGCAGCCCCCTGTCCAGACCGGCGGAGGGGCAACAGGGGGGGGGAACGAACCTCTGCTGGCCGATCCTGGCCGCCTTCGCGCTGCCAGGCCACGTCGCTCGCAGCGCAGAGAGGGAGGGGAGCCGGAGCAGAGAGGACCACGAGGAGGCGAGGCAACGGGGATGGCCGCGTGCCGCGTGCCCCTGGCCGGGCCTCCCCCCCGCGCACTGCTGGGGGGCAGCCTCCCGAGCCTCTCCTCCTGCTCCTTCTCCTCCTCGTGCTCCGGATCCGTCGCCTCCCAGAAATATCGTCCCCATCTGTGTTCTTTTTTCTTTGTGTGTGTGTGTGTGTGTGTGTGTGGCAATTTCTAGCATTCCTCCCGTAGAGGGACGTGCCCGATTTACGCCCAAGCATGACTGTTCCCCCTTCCTGGTCAGAGCCTGTCTGTCGGCGGCGAGCCCAGGGGGGAAGTGAGAAGACGGGGCGGGCCTTCTCTCGGAAGGCGCGGAAGTCCCCGGACCTTTCGAGGAGTTTTCTGAGCCTTCCCCGAAGGCACGGAGCACTTCTCAGAAGGCGCGAGGGCTTCTGAGAAGTTTCGCCGCCTTCTGAGAGGGCCTTCTCCTTCTCACTTCCCCCCGCGCTCGCCGCCGATCGCACGAGCATGAAACGCGTGCCCCACCAGCCCTTGGGGCGCATGTACTTTGGTGTGTTGGCCCTTCCGGCCCCTTTTTTAGTTCGGGAAGCATGCTTCCCTCCACTTGCACACCTCTTGGGTCTGGACGTCACCCCCCCCAGGCCTCAGGGTAGTTCTAGCGCCCCAAATAGACAAGTACAATGTGGCCCCATATGACCTGATGGCTCTGACCCATGAGGGCCTCCAACATGGCACAATGTTGCTCTAGATGGCCTCCACCATGCCTCCAAGAGGCTCCAAGACCAGGAGAACACAGCTCGAGATGGCCGCGCAGCCGCCCAAGGACGCCCACCCAGAGAGCCAGCATCTTTGAGCACGAAGGGTTTCGCTGGCCTTTGCTTTCCCGTTGTTTGCTTACGATGGGCTGGCTTCTGGGGCCTCAAGGTGGCCCCAAGATCGTTCGACAGAGCCTCAAGGGGAGAGGCATACATGCTCCAAGATGGTCTCCTAGGCTACCAAGGGTACCCTAAAAGCGGCCCGTCCCACGAGAGCTCCGAAACATGATTCTGACCCGTCCCACGTGGGGCTCCGAGACATGATTTTTTGACACAGGCAACAAAGGGAGACGGGGGCTTGAGAGGGACATACAACCTCAGTTTGCTTTGCTCGATGGAAATCCAAGGTGCGCCCAATACTATTCATGATGCCACCAAAAAAGCTCAAGATAATCGCGAATGCTTCCAAAACGGCCGCGGGAACTCCCCTATGTGTCCCACATGGACTTCCAAACACCTCCTCAACCGAAATATCCGCGAACACATTTATGTCTGACTACTGGGTCCACCCGGGCTTCGGTTTGACGGCTGCTCCCCGTTTTCTGTTCCACGGCGTGCTCCTGCACGTCGCTGCAGCACGCTCGTCTTCGTCTTTCTCTCATGGCCCGCGGCCTGGCTTCCATGCTCGAGGCGCGATGCAAACTGGGAGTGATGAGGCAGTGGCCGAGGAAGAAGGGGGAGGATGCAACCAGAACGGGAGGGGAGCGAGGAAGACACACGGGGGAGGAGGGATGGGGGCAGGGGAGGGGGGAGGAAGGGAGGGGGCAAGGGGGGGAGGAGAGGGGGGAGGAGGGAGGGGGGAAGGGAGGAGGGGAGGGGGGAGGGGCAAGCTAGGTGCGCTCGCGTCATATCTGACATCCTACCCCTCCCTCCCAGCCCTTACCATGGCGCAGATCCCCTCTCTACTCGCACAGTCGGATGTCGAGCAGGGCAATGATCCCGAAAGGGTACGCGATGCATTGTAGAGCACGGCATGGCATGGCGTAGAAGGGAACCGCAAAGCGTAATATCAACCTAGCATTGCATTGCATGCCGTGGCATGGCACGGGAAATGACGCCAACGCTGCAGCGGGAGCACGAGTCGAAACGAGCGGAAGCGCGGACATGAGGCCAGCGCTGCAACGGGAGCACGATTCGGAACGAGCGGAAGCACGGAAATGAGGCCAGCGCTGCAGCGGGAGCACGATTCGGAACGAGCCGGGCCCGAAAATGAGGCCGGCGCCTCAGCGAGAGCAGCATTTTGAAAACAAATGCAAGCGAAAACCCAACTCCGGGGAAACCTGTGAGTAAAAAAGCAGTACGCGGGGGAGGGGTCGAGCACTTTCAAACAGTCATCAGGGGCAGAGGGAGAGGAGTATTCATATTGAGTAATTGTTGAGGGGAAGGGAGACGTGAGGGAGGGGGGAGGGGAG